GGAGACTTTGGAAGAAAAGCAAAACACAGAGGTGATCCACATGGACTTCACTAACAATAAGGTCAACAAGTATAACAGGATGAAGATAAATGGTAGAAAATACTGACATGATGGAGAAACAAACACAAAAGCAGTATAATGTGATCCTTTATTATACTGCATCTGTGTCTATTTTTTCCAAGTATAACAGGAAAATGGGGAAGTGCAAAGAATTCTTCCTCCATAAGCCGAGTGTATTAAGAGGCGACTAAAATGCCGAGAGCAAGGGGCTAGTAACCCCTCTTTCCTGTGTAAATTACTAAATTAAAAAAAATAAAAAACTCTCATATTTCTTTTTAAGTTACCCTGCCTCAGTGGGATATGACTGGTTCGATGGGAAAAAACAGAATAAGAAAAAACGAATATTCAATTTTCTTAAGAAAAGAATACAAAAGTTATTGAAAACAAAGCAAAGTAAAAAGTTCAGTACTCAGTCATAACCATGGTGCTTTTAGTATTTCTCTTCCTTATAGCAGAAAGATAAAAGCACTAACCATAGCTTTATATAATCTGTTGAAGACTATACCAAAATAAACATGAAAGTAGCCTCAGTAGAAAACATAGAAAATTTACAAACAAATATCAACAAAAACTTCCAGAGGATATAGAAAATAACAGAGTACATGCTGCAAAGGTCACAAAAATGATAAGAGTTGATAATAAAAACTTTCAAAAGAAGAGAAATAATGTCAATGGTGAGTAATATTCAAATCACTTGTGCTCTCTCATTTAGAATACTGTTATGTGATGACAACTCTGTTCAAGGCAGGAGAGACAGATGGAGAAAGTAGATTGTTTACTGCCAGCAGAGACAATAAATCATTTAAATGACTGGTAACACCTGACAGTACTGGGTATGTACTGTCAGACCTGACATTACTGGGTATGTATGGTCACACCTGATAGTACAGGGTGTGTAAAACAGATCAGTGAAAAGTAAGCTTTGATCCAAGACTCTTCGACCTGCTACCAGAAAATATTATGTAAAGTAAAAGGACACAAGTGCAACTAAGGTGACATTTTATTGTGGCAACGTTTCGCTCTCCAGAAGCTTTGTCAATCCGATGACAAAGCTCCTGGAGAGCAAAACGTTGCCACAATAAAATGTCACCTTAGTTGCACTTGTGTCCTTTTACTTTACATATTGTCGGTAATTCTACCAACATTATTACAGAAAATATTAGAAATACTGCTGAAACAAGTGTCGAAGTTTTCAAGAGGAAACTGGATTGTATTGGTAGAATTACCGACAATATGTTAAGTAAAAGGACACAAATGTGAAACAAAACGTTGCCACAATAAAATGTCACATTAGTTGCATTTGTGTCCTCTTACTTAACAGTGCTAGCAACAGCCTGGTTGAAAAGCAATCAACAGAAAAGCCTTGGCCCAGCCCATGATGAGCTGCTAGAGTACAAAAATTTTTGAAACTGGTCACAGGTGTATTCCTAAATCATTTCCTGTTTTTCAGTCATTCCCTGAAATAGGATTTAGTGGTAATTCTACTAAAAGTGGTCAAGGACAGACAAGGTTATCTGCCTGATGAACTCATTCCACTTCTAAATCGACAGGATGGGGCCACCATTACTAGTAGTCAAGAGAAGGCGGACCTCTTTGCCGAACACTTTGCTACCAAAATGCAAGTTCCTGATCCAGCAAGGGACCCTCCTTGGCTAGCTGCAAGAACTGTGTCAAAACTGTCAGTGGTGACAATAAGGCAGGAGGAGGTGCATTTCCTTCGTAAATTGCTTGACCAAGAAAAGGCTGTGGGCCCAGACAAGTTGAGCCCAAGATTGCCGAGAAGATGTGCAGACCAGCTAGCAGTACCTCTAACTCGCATCTTTCAGCACTGCCTAGTACAGTGTAAATGGCCCTCTCTGTGGAAAGAGGCAAATGTAGTCCCTCTTCACAAAAAGAAGAGCAGAGCAGAAATCAGCAACTACAGACCAGTGTCACTCCTGTCAATCACTGGTAAGATCCTTGAGACAATAATCTCAAGACAAATGACAGAGTTTTTTGACTACCACTCACTACTTTGTGATCGTCAATATGGCTTCAGGAAAGGTTACTCTGCTGCTGATCTGTTGTTAAACCTCTCCACTAAGTGGCACCAGTCACTGGATGAATCCAAAGTCAGCTGTGTGGTAGCACTGGACATTGCTGGTGCTTTCGACCGGGTGTGGCACCAGGGCCTCTTAGCAAAACTTCAAGCACTGGGAATTGCAGGCTCTATGCCATGTCTCCTCAGTGATTACCTTCATGAAAGATCTCTAAGGGTAGTTCTCAATGGAACGGAATCAGCAAGACATCCTATTGGGGTAAGTGTTCCACAAGGAAGAGTGCTGGGACCACTGTTATGGAACGTCTACTTCAACGACCTTCTTCATCTCATCCCAGAATCCCATGCATATGCAGACGACTGTACACTGACATTCACTTGTCCAAGAGAAGAAATGCCAGCTGCTCTAAGCTACATCAATCACCAGCTAAGAGCTATATCAGCTTGGGGAAATAGATGGCAAGTAACATTTGCACCTGAGAAAACGCAAAGGATGATGATCTCTAGGCACCATGATGGTAATGCTGGTGCAGTAGTAAAGATGAATGGGAGGGTGTTGGCACCTGGAGAAGAAGTTGATATCCTTGGGGTGAAATCTGACTCCAAACTAACCATGAAGAACCATGTTGTAAATCTTGAAAACAAGGCAGCCAGGAAGCTTACAGCACTTCGCCGTATCTCGCATCTGCTTGACAGTAGGGGTTGCAAGATTCTGTACGAGGCACAAGTATGCTCACACCTTGAGTATGCTCCACTTTCTTGGTTTGCCTGCCTCCCCTCTCATCTGCGACTGCTTGACAGAGTAGAGAACAGAGCAAGACGTCTCATCTCTCGCCTGGACCCATCCTGGATAGATCTGGCATTTCAGCAGAGCCTTCGACACAGGAGGGATGTGGGTGGCCTTACTGTTATGTACAAGGCCAATATTGTCAAAGTACCACACTTGGATCCACTTCGAGGACAGCGTGAAACAAGCTTTTATGCCACAAGACGGGCAGAAAGCAGCAACTTCACTCTGGCTGTACCCTTCTCCAGAACATCACTTCATCTGAGATCATATACATCTGGGATGACTCGAGTATGGAACACATTCGTACAGCATAATGATGTCAACGAGATAAAGTCAGCTGATCAAATGAAAATGCTGGCCCACAGATGGCTCCAACTTCATCCTGTTCCCTACTTGTATGTCTCATAACAATAAAAATGCTTTCAAATGAGCTGATGTAGGTAACAGCTCTTAGCTTGCCAATAAAGTTAGGAATCCTTAACCTGTAAATAGCTTGTCAATAAAGCTGGGATCCTTAACCTTATCAAACCCTGAGTAAAAAAAAAAAAGTGTCTATATAAAGTTATTTTATCAAGAACACTAGACATCATTTTATCTTCAATCACAAAAACCTGTCTTGTAACAAAAAATAAGTGTAAAATAAAAATTAATATCGAAGAAGGTGAAGTGAAAAAAAAGGATGGAAGAGGGATGAAAAAAGGAGGAATAGGGGGCAAAAAGGAGGGAAGGAGAAAAAAGGATGGAAGAGGAAAAAAAGGATGGAAGAGGAAAAAAAGGATGGAAGAGGGGGAAAAGGATGGAAGAGGGGGAAAAGGATGGAAGAGGGGGAAAAGGATGGAAGAAGGGAAATAAGGATGGAAGAAGGGGAAAAAAAAGGATGGAAGAGGGGAAAAAAGGAGGGGGAAAGGAGGAAAGAGGGGGAGGAAGAGGAGGAAAGAGGGGAAAAAGAGGGAAGAGGGAAAAAAGAGGAGGGAAGAGGGAAAAAAGAGGAAAGAGGGAAAGAAACTGGCCAGCAGAATGAAACACTACTGTACAATATACTGCATTCCACCACCATAAATAAAAACCTTGAGACTTGTAACAAGACGACCAGCAGTGCTCAGCAACAGAATTCAAGAAGCTTTATCAGAAAAGTTGGTCAAGTAAACACGCTGCAGCCAGTTATGATCCTCAACGCTGAAACTTGGTTCAACTTTCTTCGTATATACACTGTACTTCTCACTGTGTCTTCATTATCTACCAGAAATCCTTTCCCATTATAAAAATATCTTTATAAACAGATTTTAATGTTTCTCAACAACACACTGCTAAAAAGTCCTCAAAATGTGCAACTCGTCAGAATATTTTCAGACCAACTCTTCACCATTTTGGTCTGCTGGTCAGTACCTCAAACCATATAATTTGATCTCAAAAAACTGCAAAAATAAAAAAATAAAAAAAACTTTTACCAAAGCTTGATAATGATATATAACAGAGCATCTTCAGCTGATACAATGATCCTGGGTGCAAATCTTAACACTGTACAGTAGTAGTTTTTTCTATTGGACATTTCATGCTATAATGAAACAATCAAGATTTTTCTGTAGTGTCACAATTAAATTTTTTTTTTGTCTAATGTATTCCGGCTAACAGCTTTTAAGGCCTAGTTCCTAGGCCTTTATGTGTACTGTGTATCCATTGGCTCTTGCACTACCATACCTCTCAGTTTCAAGAATTTTCACACCATTTCCCAGATGCTGCATGACCTAGCTTTCTAGCACTTCCCTCCCACAAATATAATAATAAAAATAATGATAATACTGTAATAATAATAATAATAATATAATAATAAAATAATAATAATAATAATAATAATAATAATAATAATAATAATAATAATAATAATAATAATAATAATAATAATAATAATAATAATATAACAACAACAACAACAACAACAACAACAACCTCTTCTGTATACATTACTAAATTTAAAGAGAGAACTTCCATTTTTCTTTTTAGGTCACCCTGTCTCGGTGGGATGCGGCAGGTTTGTTGGGGAAAAGAAAATAATAATACTGTAAAACAAACTTGGATAACAATAAGAGAGACATGAGCCACTTTCCTACTTACTTGCTGAACAGCAATGGGTGATTCAGTGATGTCTAAAAGTTTGATGCCACCATCTTTGCGAGTGACTGTGGCACGCACCAGCGGCCGACTGACAGGGGTAGAGCCTAAACCAGATCCTCTTAGTCCAGAGCCTGGCAATCGGCTTGGGATACCCTTCAATGGTGCTGTTGGATGTAGGATAAACTATAAACTACCAACCACTTAAATCTGACAGTTAAAAGGCCTATAACAATACAGTAAAGATTTTTGTATACACAAAAAAATGTCACCATGGTTGTTTAACATATTTATAGATGGGGTTGTAAAAGAAGTGAATGCTAAGGTGTTAGGGAGAGGTGTGGGATTGAAAAATAGTGAATATGGTATGGAGTGGGAGTTGCAACTGCTGCTTTTTTGCCAATGGCATGGTTCTTTGGGAGATTCGGAAGAGAAGCTGCAAAAGTTTGCAAATAAATTTGGAAGTGTATGTAAAAGGAGGAAATTTAAAGGAATCATAAGAAGACTTCTTAGCACCTGAAACAGTAACAACAAAGGTTCAGTTGTAAATTGAGAAAAAGTGGAAATTCTCAAAAATTTTACAATGAAGAGATTACTGAATATGGGTCCCCATGAACATAGTTTAATTTTTGTAATAGGTAATTACTGTAAGCTCCAACTTTACATGATGGTTATGTTCCAGAAAAATGGAGCTCGAAAACACGACACGTGGAGTAAACAACTCATGGGAAAAATTGAGTTACATTCCATGACACCTCAAAAAAAGCCAAACAATTTTTTTTTTTTTACATTCTTAACTTATCAATATTAATAAAGTTTCTAAATTTACACTGTAAATTTTATTTCTTGCTGACCTACAAATGTGTGCAGAGGGTTTAATGTTGCTCTACTAGGCCTGGTTCAATGTAGTGAGGATTAGGAAATTAAATAAGTGTACAATTTTAAGTTCTCAATGGGTTCTTCAAGGCCAAATTTATATAATGCATCTTTGACCCTGCCTCAGTGGGATATGGCCGGTTTGATGAAAAAAAAAATTATCCGCCCATAACAGTGAATGAGTAGGAAATGGCCAATGTGGAAAAAAAAAAATTGTTCATGTTCATTAAAAAAATGATGTACTTGTATGCAAAACCTAAATAAAAATTATTTACTAAATACACTTAAAGCCTCTGAAGGAGGCTTGTGTTTGACACAGTTACAGGAAGACCCCATTTACAGAGCTTCACTTTACAGTGCTTCACTAATACACCAGTTTCCAATTATACCCAATCTTCATTTAATCAGTCAACCTACAATAAATATATTCAAGATTCCATGATGTTGCAGTGTCTGACAGATAAATAAATGGTTTTCAAAACTAACAAGTTGAAGATTATGACACTTATGGAAATTATGGCAATTTATTATCACATCTGTCAGACACTGCAACATCACGGAATCTTGATACAAGGAATTCTTCAATACTTGTCCAACCTTTGGACAAGACCTACTTACACTAGTGGATGGTTCCACTATGATACCACCTCCTGTTTCCACTCACCTGACTACAGTATATAAGCTAATTCTCCAGCCATATCCTGTACTTTCTACATGAGGTATGGACAAAACACACTGATTCCAGGTTGAGGGACTAATTTCCTCAAACTACTACTCTCCTTACACCTTTCTGCTTTGTATTGGACTGATGAAGCCACTGTGTGGCAAAATATTTCCTCAATACAGACTGCCATATTACGTTGCATCAATGTCTCAATTTTCAAATATATTCAACACTCACTGTAAGACAGGTATGAAAATATTTTAAGGTAAGCAACATATGTACTACTTTTTTTTTTTATTAACAAATCGGCCATTTCCCACCAAGGCAGTGTGTCCCGAAAAAGAAAAGCTTTCATCACCATTTACTCCATCACTGTCTTGCCAGAGGCGTGTTTACACTACAGTTATAAAACTGCAACATTAACACGCCTCTTTCAGAGTGCAGGTACTGTACTTCCCATCTCCAAGACTCAAGTCCAGCCTGCCGGTTTCCCTGAATCCCTTTATAAATGTTACTATATATGCATTTTTTAGGCCTAGCTCTATTGCTCACTTAATATACGATAGTGTAAACATGTTAGCAGACTTTTATGTACATTTCAAAGTGGAAGAAAAAAAAAAGCTATGTTTTACTTTACAGCAGTAGCATGGAACCTAACCTGCTGTATAAACGAGGCCCTCCTGTACAGTGTATTCCTTCCATAGTAAATGGGCAGGTCATCTTGGACCAGTTTCAAGAGAAGATATGTACTCTCAAAGTTGTGTATTGAGTGCCTCCACCACTACCACCAAAAGCCTTATTAATCAGACCATCCACTGGGAGGCCTGGCTTGGGACCAAGCCACAAGTGTGTAGACCCTGAAATCAACTGCCTCATCTGCATCATACCATTCTTCATCCACTCTTGAATTAAGTAAAAGCTTTCTTACATCTCTATGACCCATCTGTCTTTTCAGCTTCCCCCTGTATTCCCTTCATCCTGGTCCTCTTAATACAAATTGTCTATCCTTATCTGCTCTATCAATTCCCTTCAAGATTTTGCATGTCATGATCACATCTACCCTCATCCTTCTCTCCTCCGGGGTCATTAAGTAAAGTTCTTAAGCTCTCCTCATAGTGCATTCTTCTCAGTTCTGGTGCTAGCACAGTTGCTATCTTTTGGACCTTTTCAAGCTTCATTGATGGAAAGTTCTCAGGTATAATGAGAGTAAGGGAGTTACGATTTATATAACTGTCTATCTAAAACAATAAAGTAACCATTTATACTAACATATACATCTCATTAAATTCAATTACTTTAATACATCACTGACGTGCTGTTGGAGTGTAAGCAAGGTAACATTTATGAAGGGATTCAGGGAAACTGGCAGGCTGGATTTGATTCCTGGAGATGGGAAGTACAGTGCCAGCACTCTGAAGGAGGGGTGTTAATGTTGCAGTTTTATAACTGTAGTGTAAGCATGCCTCTGGCAAGACAGCATTGGAGTGAATGATGATGAAAGTTTTCCTTTTTCGGGCCACCCTGCCTTGGTGGGAAATGGCCGATGTGTTAATAAAAAAAATATCTAACAAAACCATGTTGAACAGTAAGCAATGTGCTGCAGACTTTCACAATAAACTAAAGATAACGAAACAAAATACTAACTGGTATCATTCATCTTGCGTGGCATGCCTCTTGAGCGCACCGGGACCGTAGGCAGCTGACTCTTCTTCACATTTGCCTGGGCGTCAGCTGAACGGTTAAGCAGCTCTGCCCGCAGAGCTGCAGCCTTTGGTTTTCTCTTAAGAGCAAAGTGTTTGGTGAGAGGTGCCTGAAATGTAAAATTTAACATAGTTATGATCTTGGCAATCATAACTATATGTCTCTCGAAGAATAAAATGTCACAATACTGTGGCTGGAACTTACAAATAGCCTATGCTTAGGAGAAGAAACCTATGAGGACATTTCAGTCCATATCCTGAAGTGCCATCAGGTCACGACCAACCTGAAAATGTTCCAGGATAAACTGAGGCATCGTACATTTACTCTCCTAAGACCAGTTTCTTTGTATCTCTCATTTTACATTTTGACATCACATATTTAACTATGGCCTTAATTTTATTCTCAAATTACAAGGATTAAAAATATATACCATACCAATACCATCTTTAGCTGCCTCATACATCACACAAAATACATACTTTTTACTCTGAGGTCCAAAACTACTACCATGAACTTTCTTCTATTAACCTTAAAAGCAAACATATACACCAATGTTTGAAAAACCATGATTAGTCCATCCATCTTCACTTAGCACTATGTAAAATAATGTGTGGAGAGAAGAAAAGGCATCTGTCACTTTATACAGCAACTGTACTAATGTCACTCATTTTATGCAGTGAAGAATTTCAGGCTCACATCTGTACTAAAGTCAATCAGGTCATCAACATCTACATATTAAGAGTCTTCAACATGATGCACAAATCATACTGATCTCATACAGTGAATTCACAAGTGAGCCCACAAAGTGGGGGAAGGGGATGCACCTATTTTATTGATGGATCATTCCATATCAACTGGATTGATCGTCCCTACCTGACCAATTTTGCTGAAACCTGACGAGAAGCTCCATGTAGGTTTCAAATGAAGATCTGTCGAGTTTTAGATCCATGTATGTTATACAATAGCTTCACCCCAAGGGGCCTTAATATAGGGGTAACCCTAAGTGATGTGGATGCTAAGTTTTGCTTGCTACTATGGGATAAACACAGTTACCATTCTGAAGAGTTGTGTTCTTGTTCAACTTTGCTGCCCAGTCAAAAACTGAAATGCTGAGACCCATAAATTTGGTGGACTCAATAATTCTGAAAGTACACAGCCAGGCCAGAGTATATCATCTGTTTACTGCCTCATTTGTGAGCTAACCATATTTGCTTAACCTCTGCTTCCCCCATTGCATAATCAAGGTTAAAACAAAAGGAAACTGGAGACAGTGTCAATGATGTACCTACTGTAATTACACTGTGCATTGGTTTGGTCGTTATACACGAATTTTGTGATAAAAAAGCAAACACGCCTGAAGTGTAGGTCTGATGTGGTAATGTATATACCATCTGTTCCTCACACTGTTGGCATACCTAAACCAAGTGTGTACAGCAGTACTCTACTGTACCAGAATTTATGACTTACTGGTACAATATGGCAGACCATTTTGTTAAATACTGTATTATTAACTGTGGCAAACATAAATTTAGATATCATTACTTATGGTACGGTAACAGATTTAGTGAAATATGTACTGTAAAATCTTCAATCCCAAACAGCACCCTATGTCAACAACCACTGTACTACAGGTTATTTTAGGTAAAAACTTTTAGCACAAATTCATACAAAAGCATGAGTACTGTCAGTAGACATGATATGGTAACATTTGAGTGAAATCAGCCCAATGATTCAGTTAGAGTCAGAGCTTCTCACAGCAGCTCTGACCTGCCGCACAGGGCACAGGTGTGTTGAGGTCACAAAGAAAAAATATTAAAATATTGAGTAGTTTTAAAAATCAACCCAACAATAACATGGTGGTAAAGATAGCCTAAATATTTTTTTCAATATTTTGCTCATTGTTTGCATAGTTTTTGGGTGATATACACTCATAAAAAAAGAGGGGAGGGGAAGGGAACGTTTACTCTAAGAATATTTATTTAGTAAAAACCTTGCCTTTTGGCTGTTAACATTTGGTACATTGTTCTCCACAATTTCAAAGACTTGCCTTCAAGCAGAGAGCAAGTGAACTATAACAGTAGGACCTGGAATGCACCAACCTTCTCCAAATTTCCATCTTACAAGTAGAACAGAAGGTACAAAAAATTATCAGCTGACCTTAATCACGCATGAAGTACATGTACATGTACTACCACAGGGAAAGTAAAAAAAAAGGTGTTTAGTACCCTTTTACCTAAAAATGGCACAAGAACAGAGGGCAATGGACCACAAAGTGACTTAAGCTCAGCCTAATAACCCAAGAAGAGAGAAGAATCAGGGGAACATAATCACGCAGGACAGACTATTTAAAATGTGAGAAAACTAGGAAACACAGATGGCAGCTAAAAATGTTAATGAACCATAGAGATGTTAAGAAGTACAGTGGACCCTCAAACAACAGTATTAATTCATTTCAGAGAGCTTGCCATTAGTCGAATTTGCCGTTGGTCAAATTAATTTTCCCCCTAAGAAATAATGAAAATAGAATTAATCCATTCCTGACACTCCAAAGTATGAAAAAAAAATATTTTACATGAAATATACATTTCAATACACCAAAACGAATGGGACATGCAAAATAAACAATAATTAAATGCCACTTACCTTTATTGTGGAGTTGTTGATGAGTGATGTGCCAGCAGCAGGGGAGATTCAGGTTTTCTATTGTTTGGAAGGGGAATCCCCTTCCATAAAGACTTCAGGTACCAAGTCCTCTGGTGGGGTTACCTCCCTTCTTGGTTTTTTAATGCCATTAGGACCAGTTTGAGAGTCACTGGACCCCTGACGCACAAAATGTCTGTCCAGAGAGCTCTGTTTCTTACGTGCCCTTAACCCTTTGAGGATCGACAGGCCCTCTCAGAGACTTGTTCTCAGGGTCACCAAAATTTAAAAAAAATTATTTTTTCTTGTGAAAAGATAGAAAATCTTTTCCCGATCATAATGACACCAAAAGTATGAAATTTGATAGAAAACTTACGGAATTATGCTCTCACGAAGTTAGAGGTCTCGACGAAGTTTATGCATTGGCGATTTTGCCCACTTTGAGCCCTATTTTTGGCCAATTCCAGTGTACTAGTCGACAAAAATCATAACTATTTCGCTAGAACTCCATTTTTTCTACCGAATGAGTACAAGAAACCACCCATTTACCGATTTCAACTATCCAATAAAGTGGTCAGAATTTAGCAATTTTGCCAATTTCACACAAATTTTAAAAGATGCCAATTTCCAAATAGGGTTCAGAATAGACAAGAAAGACATTCCTGGCACTAAAATAACATTTCCTCTGTTCATTAGTCACATCCCCATGCCCCTCTTACATTTCTTTTGCTTTCCACTTTGAATTTTTATTCTCACAAAAAATAGAAGATTTACTGTTATGCAGACTACTGTATTAGTGTAGAAATGGTATAAATAATACCAGCGCACTTGTGAAAGAATATTAGATTCACCAGTTGACGTGTATTGGACGTGTGGCATGAATTGTTTACTTTTGAACTTTGGCAAAAATCGAACATTTCTGCTACTTTGAGCTCAATTTCAAGGTACTTTTCATTGTGAAATCAATCAAAATCATCTCAATTTCTGTAATATGTCTTCCATTCTATAAAATAAGACCAGGAAAACTAGAATACAACCATAAATACCATACGAAAATACAGTGCAAAGTCGCTGTTTTAAACCAAAAACACGGTCAAGTTTTTTTTTCTCATTACGCACTGTGTGCTGCAGGATTTTTTTTATACTGTGCACACTGACCACATAAACCCATTCATTCATATGTAGGCCTACCAGCTTTCTCTTGCTAGATTTGAGGGCGCAAGAATTTGTGTGTACTAGTACGTCAAAAGCCCTGGCGTGTAAGCCGTACTAGTACGGCCAAAACCCCGAAAGGGTCAAGATTTCCCTAAAATGGGCCACAAGAGTATCATTGTACATGTTGCCAATGCGGCTTGCAACTTCTGTGACAGGATAAAATTCATCTATAAATGTTTGCACCTTTGTAAACACTGAACACATTTTCTTAATCCTTGACGAAGTCATCTTCCTCAGTCTCTCTTCATCCTGCTCTGAAGAACATTCCTGAGATGTGATCTGTTGCTGTTGCACCTGAAGCTCTTGCAAGTCTTCAGTGGTTAGTTCTTCCTCGTCATTCTGCACCAACTCTTCCACATCCTCACCACAAACCTCCAACCCCAAGGACTTCCCCAATGACAAAATAGCTTCCACTACTGACATAGCCTCCTGAGGGTTAGCCCCAAACCCTTCAAAATCCCACTCTTCTACACATTCTGGCCACAGTTTCCTCCAAGCAGAGTTCAAGGTCCTCTTAGTCACTCCCTCCCAAGCCTTACCTATAAGGTTTACACAACTGAGGATATTGAAGTGATCTTTCCAAAACTCTCTTAGGGTCAACTGAGTGTCTGAGGTCACTTCAAAGCACTTTTCAAACACTGCTTTTGTGTAGAGTTTTTTTTAAGTTTGAAATGACCTACTGGTCCATGGGCTGGAGGAGAGGAGTTGTATTAAAAACTTTACCTTAACGAAACCAAACTCCCCTGCAATTTCCTCTTGCAAGTTGTGAGGATGAGCAGGAGCATTGCCCATTACCATTACCTGAATGACAATTTCTTTTCCTGGAGGTATTTTGTCAGAGTGGGGCCAAACACAACATAAAACCAGTCCAAGAAAAATTCCCTAGTGACCCATGCCTTACTGTTTGATCTCCACAGCACACACAAATTATTTTTTATTTTTTTATTATCACACTGGCCGATTCCCACCAAGGCAGGGTGGCCCGAAAAAGAAAAACTTTCACCATCATTCACTCCATCACTGTCTTGCCAGAAGGGTGCTTTACACTACAGTTTTTAAACTGCAACATTAACACCCCTCCATCGGAGTGCAGGCACTGTACTTCCCATCTCCAGGACTCAAGTCCGGCCTGCCGGTTTCCCTGAAACCCTTCATAAATGTTACTTTGCTCACACTCCAACAGCACGTCAAGTATTAAAAACCATTTGTCTCCATTCACTCCTATCAAACACGCTCACGCATGCCTGCTGGAAG